GACAATCCCTTCTTTACTGTGGTCCAAGACCCCTTCTTTATGCTGGTTCAAACTCCCAACCTGGCTAGGTCAAAAGCTTTTCCTCCCCTGTTTATATGGACTTTAAACCGCACTCTCATGGAGACCAGCAACCTCCAGGGCGGCCGGGCTATATCAGCTTTCTCACCACCCTTGTTTTCAGTTTTCTCTTTATTTTTGACCCGTGGGGATATCGCTTATTTTCTTGAGAATTCTGCCATACATCAAAGGAAGTTAGTGACATTTTATTTAGTAGCATTTGTAAGTATTAATGGTAGGAGAAATTTTAGATTTTTTTTTTCTTTTTCTTTTTTTTTTGTTTAATTTATTTTTTTCATTCTCTCTTTTTTTTTTTTTAATCTTTTTTTGGTTTTTGTGCCTCTGAAGAAATTTTAGATTTTTTAATCCACCATATTGTCTGAAGCAGAAGAGGAAGACTCTTCATTTTCTTGAGTATCAGTGTTATTAGTTATCTTTAGTCACTGGAAGCTTTAGAAAGTAACTCAGTTTTCTTATATCTTTAGATAAATATAATATTCATGATCTCAGTCGTTTGCCAGGCTTAGTTATCAAAAGCCAAAACTTATGAGACTTTACAACTTAGTTGTTCGTGTAGAATAATTTCTGAAGCCCTTACAGTTTTCTCGCTGCCTGGGTTCTACAAGACCCAGCTCATGGAAGATGTCCGTGTCTGTGGACTGGGAATCATGACACATTGGAATTGTAACTTTAGGTTTTATTTATACACTGTCTATAATCAGTGAGTTTTATACTTTTGAGGTTTTCTTCTCTAGCAAGTACAGTATAGCCATTGAAAGGTCTAGGACAGATATTTTTAACCTTAATTAGAGTAAAATATTCAATATGTGTATCTCCAATTTTGCATTCTTTGATGACTTTACCACACAAAAGAAGAATAAGTTTCTTCCCGGTAACTTGGTGTTCATGGCTCAAAAAGATCCCCAGTAGCGGAATATGGTTTCACCAAAATCCACACAAGCCAAGGAGGCCAAGCCAACCTTGCCCTCCTTCTTGAACCTAGTCTAGGGCCAACCTTGGCCTCCTTCTTGAACCTGGTCTAGGCTTATGTCAACCTGTTATTCTTTATTTATTTATTTATTTATTTTGAGACAGAGTCTTGCTTTGTTGCCCAGGATAGAGTGAGTGCCATGGCGTCAGCCTAGCTCACAGCAACCTCAAACTCCTGGGCTCAAGCAATCCTGCTGCCTCAGCCTCCCAAGTAGCTGGGACTACAGGCATGTACACCATGCCCCGCTCATTTGTTCTATATATATTAGTTGGCCAATTAATTTCTTTGTATTTATAGTAGAGACGGGTCTTGCTCAGGCTGGTTTTGAACTCCTGACCTCGAGCAATCTGCCCACCTTGGTCTCCCAGAGTGCTAGGATTACAGGTGTGAGCCACCGGCCTGGCCAACATGTTATTCTTAATCACCCAGGTAAATCACAGGAAGTTAACTGCTCAGGTATTTGCTTGGGGCATAGTTCTTTATGCTGTCTCACTCTTAAGTCTTCTATTCCACTTATTTGAAGAATCCCTGGTCCCTCAGGGTGGGAACATTCAGTCGACATCCTTCAAGCTCTTGGTACAAGCAAAACAATTGTATGTACCCATTTAAGTAAAATGGGAAGTGTCTGAACCTTAATTTTAGCCAGTTTAGTTCCCAGTGCATTTGTCTAAACTTCATTCTCAAGCCAGAGTGATCCATAAGGGACATGATTCAGAGCATCCTAAAACAAAGCCACTTAAACAATGAACAATTTTCAACTGGAACCAATTTCTTCCTGAACTATGTTGTTGGGGAAGGGGGGTGAAGACAGAGCATTTCTTAACTTTATCGCCCACCCGCTCACCCACATTTAAAATCTTTGGCCTCCGATTTATTTCTCTTGTTTTCTAGCCCACTTCCCCACCTCCCAATTTCTTAGCCACACTCTTCCTTCCCCCTCCTACACCTCAGAAGTTGCCTGATTTCTTCTGGGAAAGCCACTCGTGCCCATCTGGTTGGGGCTTGGGAGCATCTGCGGGATTACCTTAAACTCATAGGCTTTGAAAATCCTTCTGGGAATCTTCTGTTGTCACTTTACCTAGTACAGTTCAGGAAAGCCGAAGAACTGGGTCACCTGGCTCTTGCCTAGCTTATCCACTGGTCAAGATGTAGAGGAATGTGGATCAATTGCAATGACATAATTTCTCCTGGGAACCTCATTCAGTGACCCTAGTTCTCCCACACTGGCATTTCCTGTCTGTACTTGGGCTCCATCCTCAAGTCATCATTCCCTCTTTCATTCTACCAACATCTAACCTTCCAAAATCTAATAATGGTGTGAGGGAGGTGTCTTTATTAATCATCCCAGCGTTGGCACCAACTGCAGTGTTTGACTCTGGTGATGGACTGACAAGAAGAGACCAGTCTCTCTCTCTCAATCTCTCTCTCTCTCTCAATCTCTCTCTCTCTGTCTCTCTCTCTCTCTCTGTCTCTCTCTCTCTCTCTGTCCCTCTCTGACACACACACACACACACACTCACAAATCCCTCTCTCTCGGGTAAGATTAAATTCCCAACTAACCAAAGATGTAAAATTCCGATCTGAATTAGGGCAGCCCACAGTAGTGTGTGAGTCAAATGCTTCGTGGAACTTAAACCTTCTTATTCTTGGACCTTACATCAGTAATCCACGAAAATTTGCACCAACCATTATACAAGGCTGTCTGGGTTTTTTACTTAGATATCATCCAGACCACATGGTTCCTAGATAATGAGTAGGGGGAGCATTAGAGGAAAAAGAATCAGTGCCCAGGTATCCCGGACTATTATCTCTGCCTTAACCTTTTCAACATGTCAGAGAGCTCATTTCCCCATCGCATATCTGCTAGTACCATAATGACCTTAAAAAAAAAATGGTTAAATATTAAAGCAAATTCTTTTAGTGCCTAAACTACTTCTCCAGGGTGAAGTGGGCACTCCATGTGGATTAAAATCCTTGTGTTAAGGCCCATTACCAAACTCCCTAGTTTTATATATGTCTACCTCCCCTACTAGATAATTAAAGAACCTCGGGGGGATGACAGCATTTCAGATAGGAGTCTCCATCCTCCTCATTTGCTGGCAAATTAATAAACTCCTCTTTCCTTCTCCTCAAACCACTTGTCCTCGTTCTTCTGATATAGTGTCGAGAATAAGTGCTGAACTTTCAGTACGAGATTTGGCGTCCCTGGGTGGGCCTATCAGCTGCCCAGTAGAATGGCCCCCTGCAACTGCTAGAAGAGGCAGGGAGCAGCTCCCGGTCAAGCCTAGGCAGGAGCATCACCTTTTTGGGTAAGAAAGAGAAGGATTCGCCCAGCAGCTGCTGGGGCCCGTTTAGCTCCTGGGAAGTCCTGTCTCTTTCTCCCCAACTGGACACAGCTCTGACCAACCTCAACTTCCTTGAGGGGAAGGAAACAGATTTGGGAAGTATCTGGACACCATGGCCATTTGTTTGTTTGGTAAGTCCCCCAGGATGCACCCCAAGACCCTGATTTTATCCATTTGGGAGGTTTTCACACCTTCCTGTTGGCTATGTAGGCTTGTTTAGAGGCACACCATTTGGGGGCGTGAAATGAGGTTGAGTGGACTAGGGGAACCTGGTTTGAATTTGGAGCTCATCTGTGGTTCCCTGGGAACGGGGGGGGGGGGCTAGACCACCATTTGGAGAGGGTTTTGAACCTTCCAGCCCTGTGGCAGGGCAGGTGTTTGGAGCCCCATAGTAGGGCATTTTGGGGTGGTGTCTGTCCCCTTCGGATTCCCATTTGTTTGATAGGCCTGGCATTTTGTGTCGGGGATTCTCTATGTTGTCTGTGTTTGTTTTTAAAGTTTTGTTGTAGCATGAGAAAGTTCCATCTAAAATTTCCATTTCCTTGGAGCCAGGCGTGGTGGCTCACGCCTGTAATCCTAGCTCTCTGGGAGGCTGAGGCAGGAGGATCACTCAAGGCCAGGAGTTCAAGACCAGCCTGAGCAAGAGCGAGATCCCTTCTCTACTAAAAATAGAAAAAAATTAATTGGCCAACTAAAAATATATAGAAAAAATTAGGGGGGCATGGTGGCACATGCCTGGCTAATTTTTTGCATATATATATATATATATATTAGTTGGCCAATTAATTTCTTTCTATTTATAGTAGAGATGGGGTCTCACTCTTGCTTCAGGCTGGTTTCGAATTCCTGGCCTCAAGCAATCCGCGGCCTCCCAGAGTGCTAGGGTTATAGGTGTGAACCACCCCGCCCGGCCAGAGCCACGGCACTCTAGCTCGGGCAACAGAGTGAGACTCTGTCTCAAAAAAAAAAAAAAAAAAAAAATTAAAATTAAAAAAATAAAATTTCCTTGGGAAAAATTTTGGCTGAATGGTCAGCTTAGAGCTAAGAACCTATGTCTAAAGAGAATGTTTTTGGTTTAATCCAATGTAAATCCACTCCGCACTGGAGTGTGAGAAAAAGTGACTGTTAAATGAAACCTTAAATTATACTGAAAAAGAAAATTAACGACTGAAAAAGAAAATTAACGATCCTCGTGCAAGGACCTAGTTTTGTATCTCCTTTTCCCCTCAGTGCTCAGCATAAAACTCACAGGTATTCAGTTTTCACAAATAACAACTTCTGCTTTAATTTAATTAAAAGTTTACAATGGGGCGACTTCTGGGGCCCCCCTCTCTTGGGGTCCCAGAACCTCGTCCAGGAAATAAAAAAAATAAAAAATAAATACAAGTTTCCATGAAGTTTTATTAGTGGTCAGAGGCATTCCTAAATAGTGTGGGGGGTGCTATTTCCCCCTTTAAGGAATACTATTTCTATCCTAAATAATGACCTTAGTAGCCTGAAAGAGTTCCTGAAACTCCTAAAGTGCTCATTTTAACTACTAAAATAATCTGGTGTGTTATGATTGATAATATTACATTCAGCCTTTTTTTCTGTATTTTATATAATAGGCCAAAAAAATCATAACTTATGTAGTTGCTGCTGGACTTCAGTATGGAGCAGAAGGAGGCATTTTGCACACTTTTTTTAAGGTATGACTTTTCAATGACTGGACTTTTTGTGAGTGTTTTACAGTAAGGATATACCATTGGAAGGTGTTTTTGATTGCTTTGGGCTGTGGCTAGGCTCAGTATAACAGCAGAAAATGAAAGAAAGTATGGATGCCGACCATGACCACCTACATTTCTTTCCCATTATTGACAATTTGTGTTCACCACGCTCAGCATAACAATGAGCAAGATGGATCTCCTTTCATCCGAGAAACGGATATTGATCAAGCGCCTACCATGCGCCAAGAAGCCGTCGTAGGTAGTAGGGATTCCCTGAAATAATAAAGGCCTTGCTCTCGTGGAGCTCGTGTTCTCATGGAGGTGGAGAAAGATATACATACAATAAACAAATAAGCCAGTGGATACTGAGCGTTTCAGATGCCGAACGTACAACGGAAAACCACAAAGCGGAGAAAGGCAGAGAGTGCCGGGCCGGGGTTGGGGGGCAGGGCTTGCATCTTACAAGCGGAGGCTGAGGAAGGTCTCCCCTATGATGTGACATTCTAGCAGAAAGGGACAGGCAAAGAGGGAGTTGGCTAATCTGCTTTCTGGGGAGAGAACATTCCAGGCAGGGGGACTGTAAACGCAGTGAACTGAGGCAGAAATGTGCGGAACAAGAAGAGCAATGCGGATGAAGGCTGGGACACGTTGACGAGGAGGTCAATGCGGATGAAGGCTGGGACACGTTGACGAGGAGGTCCGGCAGGGAGGGGAGTGTCAGCGCAAAGCTGGGAGAGCTTCGGCTCTATTTCTGAGCGAATTGGGAAACTCTTAGACTGTTTGAGCACAGAAGCAACGCAGTGTGTCTTAAGTTTAAAAGGACAACTCTCTTCTCCTGCCGTGTTGAGGTCACACTGCACAGGGCAAGGGCAGGAGCACAAAGCAGAGAGACTAGTCAGGAGGGTAGCTCCTAAGACATGGGTAGAAGTGGGGAAATGCTGAAAATTATTCAGATTTGGGGTATATTCTGAAGGGAGAGATGAGTGGATTGGTTCAGATTGGCTGTGCCAGCGACGGTGCTCGACGCTGTATCTAGCATCTGGGACGCCGAGCGGGAGATCGCTCACGATCAGAGTTGGAGCACACTGAGCAAGAGCGAGACCCATCTCACTAAATAGGAATTAGCAGACAAGTAAAAATAATAGAAATTAGCCGGCATGGGCGCGTGCCTGTGTCCGGTACCGGAAGCTGAGGCAGGGAGGTCGTTGAGCCCAGGAGATTTGAGGTTGCGTGAGCTAGGATGACGCACAGCACTCTAGCAGCACAGCGTGAGACTCTGGTGCAAAGAGAAGAAAAAAGCAAAGCTTGATGTAAGTACAAGAAAAGAAGTACTGCAGGTTTGGGGTCGGAAGGCGTGAAGACAGCACTGCGCACGACTGGGATGAGAGGACAGCGGGAAGAGCAGGCCAAGGTGGTGTGTGGTGGGAAGTTCAGGGTGTTCACGTATGGGTGACTGCTTATCCAGTCTGGGTGCGGAGCAGGCTGTTGGACACAGAGCTTGGAAGTCACGGGGAGATCAGCACTGGAGAGAAAACGTTGGGAGCTGTCGGCACGTGGCTGGTATTTGAATCCATGGGGTTGGATGACATCCTCGGGTGAATGAACATGGAGAAAGAAGGGGTCTGAGGACTGAGTCTTGGGACACTCCAATATTGGAGGTCACCGGGAGATGAGACAGAATCAGGGAAGGAGGTGAAGAAGGGTGCCCCGGAGGTAAGAGGATGAACGAGAAGGAGGCCGGGCGTGGTGGGTCTTCACTGGGTGTAAACCTTCAACGGTTCCCCAAAGTCCAAAGCATCTTTCAAGACACCGTGGTCTGCTGTGAATCCCACTCCTACCTCCTCCACTCTGATCTTTCTTTTCTTTTTCTTTTTTTATAAGAGACGGGGGTCTCGCTCTTGCTCAGGCTGGTCTTAAACTCCTGACCTCGAGCAATCCGCCCGCCTCGGCCTCCCAGAGTGCTAGGATTACAGGCGTGAGCCACCGCGCCCAGCCACCTCTTTCTGCTCTTAACAGCAATTTAAAATAATCTAACATGTGACACTTAAACAGTACTCAGTGTCTGTATTTGGTTACCAAAATACTTAATGAGAGGAAAAGACGAGGATCTGGACTCTGCATATTGAGGCTCCCATGCAAGTCCCGGCCTCCCTGCAAGTGTAAGCTCCTGCCAGATGTTTTATCCACTAAACACTTCATCTATGAACTGACGGTCATTATTCCCCCTCCTCACCCCCACCAGTTAACTTCATTCTCTTTTTGTGAGAATTAAAGACATCATGCATATGAAGGCCTTCCTTCTCTATGTAGCTGACACATAGATGACTACTAAATACAACTGGGGAGACTATAGATTTCTCAGAAAGCATTTCAGTCCCGAGGTTACACTTTATTTCTCTTGATAGAATTTGATCCTAAATCTCCTCAGGACTGATTCACAAAAACATCTCCTAGAGGGAGTTACTTGAGCAGGTAGATATATGTCTTTTGGATACCTCTGGCTGTGGACTTGTGTGCGAGCTATTAATGTAATAGCCGTAGACATATAACTGGGGGGGAAATGCTTTTGTTTTTCTTTCTTTTAGATGGCTTGGTTGGGTGATATGCCTGCATTACCAGTTTTTGGAGATGGAACAAATGTAATTCCAGCAATTCATGTTCACGATCTCGCAGGGTAAGCATCGTCCCAAAGATGTGACCTGCTTAGAATTGATGAGCGTGCTTGTGGGCTACCACTTACCTGAGCACTTGCCAAGCGCTCAGACCCTGACCCGTGTTCTCCTGTTGGTGCTTCACAGCAGCCCTGCACGGAAGGTACTGTCCTCTCCGTTTTGCATCTGATGAAACAGTGCCGACCATCTAAAAGTGCCACGGTTCTGCTGACAGGTCCATGTTCCTCTCTTAGAAACTTTGTCAGCAGAATAGCAGCGCCCTCCGACTTTAGCAAAGAATGAATTTGATACGTGCATTCTGGGGACATAGTTTTTATTCCTTTGTCCCACATAAGAGTGGTTAAGTCCAGCCCAAAGACTTAAACTCCAGAAGTCAGAAGGCAAACTCTAAACTTGACGCTTTTTTGACAATTGTAGGTAAAGTTGACACGTATTTTTTTAGGCACACAGAGCAGCTAAACCCGGTGTCCAGACAGGTCCAGAGACTTTTCTCCTTCTCTGAAGACCCCGACTTAGACACTGGGTCAACGAGCTGGTTCACTGTGTCTGTGGTTCGTCAGTGTCACCTAACTGAACGGGGGTCCACCCACCCCCGTGCAGTAGAGCCAGACACTGTTGACACGGCAGAAAGAGACGTTTATTGCCTGGTGTGGAGAGAGGAGAACGAGCAGCAGCGACTGCTCAAGACCTGGGCTCCCTGATAGCTCCCAAGAAGGGTTTTAAAAGCAGGGGCGCACCTCAGGAAAGCAGAGGCTGCCGGCCGAACGCAGAGCACCCCTGGGTGTGACTCTCCCCAGGCCCCCAGGAAGATATTTAGAACAGCCATAGTTCAGTCCTCCCTCTGCCTTATCTGAGGCCCATGTGGTAGTAGTTTTCTGGTCAGGGGGGTGGCTCTGAAAAACAACTCAAGAGCAAATATGTTAAGCTGTTATCTTTTAGGTTGGGAACCAAAACACCCTGTGACCATGGCTTGCTTGGGAGACTCTGGTTACTGTCCTCTTGCTTATCAGCTGGTTCATTTACTTTGCTGGGCCTGGAATGTCCCGTGGAGGGACTCAAGATTTTCCTTCATCTGGTGGGGGGAAGAGAGGGACAGCAGGCCCCTAAGAGAGGTCCCTGTTCTGTCTCCTCATCTCCACATTTCAGGTTCCGGGGACTTCATTCTGTCGCCCTGTGGTTGACGCCCAGGAAGGGAGCAGTTTCTGCGCTTCCCTGAGGCCCTGGTTCCCCGGTTCCCACTCTTCCCCTCACCCACTGGCCACCGGAAAATCCGTCTCAATGTCACATGAATATACAGGTCTACTGGAAATGAAGGAAGCTTAAACATCATAGCTACAAACCTGTGGGGGTCCCTTCCAAGGCCCAGAATGTAATTTTTATTATTTAAAAGATTGCATAATTTTCCTCGAAATTGTATAAACTTTAGATGATGCAAAACCTAGATCTGCTCAAGCCAACATTCACCCTGGGCCTGGAGGGGCCGAAATGTGTCCTTTTTTGCAGAGATTTTACGTTATTACATTTCCAGGTTTCAAAGATGTAAAAATGCCTTTTAGATTATTAAAACGATGTCCTTAGTCCTTTTTTTTTTTTTTTTTTTTTACTTGGCCAATTAATTTCTTTCTACTTTTAGTAGAGACAGAGTCTCGCTCTTGCTCAGGCTGGTTTTGAACTCCTGACCTTCACCTATCTGCCCACCTCGGCTTCTCAGAGTGCTAGGATTACAAGTGTGAGCCACTGCTCCTGGCCTTAGCCTTAGTCCTTAATGTCTTACTTCCAAACAGATAAATTAGAGGGTGAAATTTCTCCCATTACTGAAGGACTCAGGGCCTGTTAAACAAAAATTACAGGAGGCCGTTGCTTTGGACCAAGCTCCTGTACGAGGCCCCAACAGGCAAGACTGGACATCAAAGCGGAGTCACCCATGCTACAGTTCTAGTCACCAAACCAAAACTTAGTTGTCATCTGACCATTTGAGAACTCAAGAGCTGTAGCCAATTGCCCAGACAGGCCCGTTTCCGTCATCAGTAGGCAGGATCATGAAGGTCCCTGTGTTTTACTCCTCACAACAAAAAGTAAACTACAGTAACTTGATGTTAACCAGCCAGTCATCTTTCTATCGTTCTCCCTGCCCCTGCTTTACAAGGAAAGGAACTTTGCAATGATCAATTTGCTTTTTGTTCTTCGCTTTTGCTTTCTTCAGCCCTTTCTGCCTATGAAACCAATCCCCTCTGCTCAACTCATTGGAGCACTCATTCTATTTTATGGAATGAAGTGTCGCCGTTCTAGAATCACAAATAAAGCCAGTCGACATCTTTAAATTTGTTGTAATTTTGTCTTTTGACAGACCCCTTTAAGTAGCATTTTTTTTCCTTGAGGTCAAATATGATATGCACAGCTAACGTGTTCTGAGAAATTAATATAAATGTGAGATGGCCATTTAGGAGTTTGCATTTGATTTGTCTTTGTTTTACTGAAAAGGGAGCTAAAATGGAGGTAGAATTGATAAGGTGACCATGCTAGGCTTCTATTCACTATTGTTTCTCTCCAAAATTCTTTAATTTGTGTTCCAATCCCTGCTCTGCCTCTCACCAGCTGTGTGAATTTGGGAAGGTTACTTAACCTTGCTGTGTCTTTTCTCATTTGTAAGAGGGGCGTAGTAACAGTATCTGCATGATCGGGTTATTGTGGGAGTTCAGTGGGAATTAGCACAGTGCTGGCACAGAGGTGACCACTCGGAAGTGTTAGCAAGTGTTAGCCCAAAAGCTACGTGACTTCCTTAGAAGAGCCACAGATTGTCTGAAACTGTGTCTTACTTTGTAAAACACCTACCGTAGACCATTGTTTTGAGACTCAAAAAAGCCACGGGGTAGGCAGAAGAGCCACAGGGTGGGCAGGTTTTCCCCCGGCAGTCCTCTCAGGGGCAGGTCCTCTTGTTGCCAGGAAGTGCAGGTTGCTAGAAGGAGGCCAGCATCCGGAGCCAGGTGGGTCTGACTTCAAACGCTGGCTCTCTGACTTTCCCACTAGCTCTTCAGCCAGAGAAATGTCACTTACTTTTCTCACATCTTCCTCATCTATGGAGTGCAGGTTATAATCCCAACCCTGACATTGCTGGAAATTATGCGAGATAACTTATAATAATAATAATAATAATAATTATTATTATTATTATTTGAGACAGAGTCTAGCTTTGTTACCCAAGCTACAGTGAATGCCGTGGCATCAGCCTAGTTCACAACAACCTCAAACTCCTGGGCTCAAGCAGTCCTACTGCATCAGCCTCCCGAGTAGCTGGGACTACAGACATGCACCACAATGCCCGGCTAATATTTTTTTTCTATATATATTAGTTGGCCAATTAATTTCTTTCTATTTATAGTAAAGACGAGGTCTCGCCCTTGCACAGGCTGGTTTCGAACTCCTGACCTTGAGTGATCCGCCTGCCTCGGCCTCCCAGAGTGCTGGGATTACAGGCGTGAGCCACCACGCCCGGCCAAGATAACTTATTAAAGCACCAAACACTGTGCCTGCCCCATGGGGTGGTTCACTACATCTCTTTTGCTTTTTCCTTCTGGTGAGCATTTTTTTTTGAGACAGAGACTCAATCTGTTGCCCGGACTAGAGTGCTGTGGCATCAGCCTAGCTCACAGCAACCTCAAACTCCTGAGCTCAAGCGATCCTTCTGCCTCAGCCTCCCGAGTAGCTGGGACTACAGGCATGCACCACAGTGCCAGGCTAATTTTTTCTATATATACTAGTTGGCCAAATTAATTTCTTTGTATTTATAGTAGAGACGGGATCTCACTCTTGCTCAGGCTGGTTTCGAACTCCTGACCTGGAGCGATCCCCCCCCCAGCCTCCCAAAGTGCTAGGATTACAGGCGTGAGCCACTGCGCCCAGCCTCTGGTGAGCATTTTACCTGTTGGTCTGCAGGGTGATACAAAACGTGATCGACCACGTGCCGAAGATTCACTACCTGGTTGGTGTGGACGAGTCTGTTCAGACCCTGGAAGACATAGTCAAGGTACAGTGGCTTCCTCCCAGGCTTCAACGACATATCTTAAATGGTTTTACCCCCTAAAGTGCAGTTATGGTGTAACACTTGCTGTAACATTTTGGGGTGGGGGTCTCAGGTGGCTGATGCACCCTCCAACTCATAGACGGGGGTTTTTTTTTTCCTTATCATTGGAATCAGTTGGGCTAACAAGACTGGGACCCCTAAAATATTAATAGAATGTCCTTAAAGTCCAAACGTGATATCTGCCTTTGCAGTATATACTTTGAGAAATTACTACTAAAATAGACTTTCTCTTCTAAATGCACAGAGAGAAAAAAGAAAGGCCACCACCGTAGGGCTCAGCTTGAGAAGCTGGGGATCATTGTACCTCGGACGCACACCAATGACACACCGAATACTAACGTGTGTCAATGGACACTCACCCCAGACTATTGACACGGTCAGCCAGGTTCACCAGACCTGCTGGCCACTTCCAGGAACTCTGGATCTGCAAGGCCTACCTCTTCCCGCCTAGGCCGCTATGACTGGAGCAGCCACGGTGTAGCCCAGCCAGCCCTGCTAGTGCAGCCTTCTCCTGTCCTTCCCCCGGCCACTCCCTACTCACCCTTAAGGTTCAACCCAGACACCTTCCTCTGCGCCCTCCCGGCCTCCTTCCCACCTTCGGCACAGCCAGGTGCCTCTCTTCCGTACTCCCAGTGTGTCTCCATCTGTCTGAACTGCTATAACAAATGCCATAAACTGAGCAGCTTAAAAACAACAGTTATTGGAGTCCTGGAGGCTGGAAAGTCCAAGGTCAAGGCAGATCTAGTGCCTGGTGAGGACCTTGTCACTGTGTCCTCACACGGTGGAGGGGGCAAAGGAGCTCCCTGGGGTCTCCTTCAAAAGGGCCCTAATCCCATCCATGAGTGTTCTACCCTTACGACCCAGTCGCTTCCCAAAGGCCCCACCTTCTAAGTCCATCACCCAGAAGGCGAGGATCTCAACATATGAATTTGGGGGGGGGAGAGGACACAAACATTCAGACCATAGCACAGAATCTCCTGTGCTGAGCTGTAAACATTCCACATGGTGATTATCCAGGTGTACTTCTGTCTCCCTTTTCAAACTGGGAGCTCCTGGAGGCAGAGCCTGGGCCATACTCATCTCCATCTCCACTACCTGACACTAATGGTGGGTTGTTTTTTTTTTCTTTTGTATTTAGTTGTGTTCACATTCATTTGAAATTTATATACAATTTATATAAAATGAAACCTTACAGGCAAACCCAAGGATATTTCTGTTTCCCCCTAACAGTGCATCAGTAAAAGTACCGGCCCTGGGAAAATCCAGAAATTACCTAGAGAAAATGCTTCCCTAACCAAGGAATTAACGGTCAGTAGATAAGAGGTTTTTGTTGTGGATGTTGTTTAACTGATTTACTAAGTAATATTGATCCCTGAGGGGTTTGGCTTCCAAGCCTGGCTTCAGCTCCTACTGTACCATGTACTCTAAGGCAGCCTACCCTTCTCTGCAGTTTTCTTTTCTGAAAAAAACTCTCACTCTCGGAGGTCCTGGTCAGAAAATGTACTTGAAAGCTGTTTGACATGTAAAGTACTATGCAAACACCGGGCATTGTTTTCTGTGGCCTCTTTCTGAAGGTCAAATTGTAGTATCACAATAAGTGCTCTGTAAATACTTAATGCTGGGTTAATTGACTTTCATATTTAGTGAATGTATATCATTTTCCTTTAATAGCTGTAGTGATTTTGGTCTGGTACAACTGTCAGAGTGAAACGAAACAGACAAGTCTCTAATCTTCCTCTATCTTTTAGCAAGATAGCCTTGACCATTTACTGGTCAACTTAAGAATGGAAGCGCTCTTTCTGAAGAATTTTAATTTCGATGGAGTGCCCAAACAGGATTTGTGGAAAACATCAACAATATCCTCAGAGAGTACAAGCACAGGCAGAGGATTATGTGGTAACTATAGCCCATTTCCTGTTTAAACTTCGAAGTAAGCAAAGTAAATGAAAAACTTCAGTGTAATTATGCCAATGAAAAATTTCCTTTTCCGAAAGTCCAGATTCTACAATTCTCAAGTTGTTTTTCAAATTTGACAAATGTATCCTGTGCTAACAATTGCTGCATGTTAAATCAATACGGGTCAACTGAATATAGAAATTTTAGTGAACATAGATATTAACTGTTTGTGCAAATTGACGCATGACATAAGCTCAAGAGTGTACTGTCAGGTCGGGCACAGTGGCTCACGCCTGTAATCCAGCACTCTGGGAGCGAGGCGGGCAGATATGCTCGAGTCAGGAGTTCGGCTGAGTGACGACGCCCCAATCTCTA